TTATACCCTTCAAAACTGAATTATCAACATAAAATTGTGGAATCAAGCTACTCAAATCAAAACATGCTGGGACACAACTCATAAACAGGATAAAATGTGGATTTGATGGAATTATGCTTACTATGTCAAAAATAAATGTAACGACCCGACAAGTCATTTTGAGTATTTGCACTTCGCTAAATAGTTTGGGGGCACAGGTAGCTCCATATGATATATTATGACTTGTGTGAATCATCGATTTTGGTTTTCAGGTTATTCAAAATCGATTTGGAAGGATGAATTTCATTGTTGAAGCTTTAAGTTGGCCGACTTGACCAAGTTTGACTTTTGTGAATTTGATCCGGGAACGGAGTTTTGAGGGTTCTGTTAGGCCCGGATGGTGATTTTGGACTTCGGCGTATGCCCAGATTTACATTTGTATATTTCTAGAAGGATTCAGTGCTAATTGGCGAAAGTTAGAAATTTGAAGGTTTGAAAAGTTCATAAGTTTGACCAGGAGTTGACTTAGATGATATCGGGTTCGGATTATGATTTCGAGAATTAGAATAGCTTTGTTATGTCATTTGGGGCTTGTGTGAAAAATTTGAGTTCGTTCCGGATTGACTTGATATGTTTTCGGCGCAAGTTTTGGAAGTTGAAAATTCAGAGTTTATTTAAGTTTGAATTAAGGTGCGATTCGTCGTTTTAATATTGTTATGTGTGAGTTAAGGCCTTGAGTATGTCCGCGTTATATTATAGACTAGTTGGTATATTCGTGTGGGGTCTCGAGTGGCTCAGAAGGGTTTCAGACGAGGTTCAGATCGTTTAGTTCATTTTTGGCTAAGGCTGCTGGTGGCAGGATCTGGTGTTATCACACCTGCGGATGGTTTTCATAGGTGCGATGGTTGCAGAAGAGACCAAGCAGTTACAAATACGAGGTGAAAGCTGGGTGAGGAAGCTCGCAAAAGCGGAGAATTTGGCATAGGTACGGATGCGCAAGTGCAAAGGTCCTCGATTTCAGAATTTGTGACTGCAGGTACGAGAGCTGCTGGGCCAAGCAGTTTTCGTAGAAGCGAAGTATTTCACCGCAGAAGCGGGGGTCACAAATGCGACAGTGTGACAGCATATGCGGAATTTCTGGGCAGAAGCTATAAAATCGAGATTTTTGGTTCTTTTAGCATATTTTGAGATTTGGGGCTCGAATTGAGATGCATTTTGAAGCAAATTTTATCACAAGGATTGGGGTAAGTTTTCTACTCCAGGTTTTGATTATATCTTGGGAATCTATCCTTGTTTTTGGTAGCTGGATTATGAAATTTAAAGAGAATTTTTTTTT